AAGTTATGAAGCTCCTCATTATGCAGTTTTCTCCAACCACCTGTCACTTCATTTCTCTTCAGTCGAAATATTCTTCTCAAACACCTTCAGTCTGTGTTCTTCCCTTAATGTCAGACACCAAGTTTCACACCCATACAGAACCACAGGCAAAATTAAAATTTTGTATATTCTAATTTTTACATTTTTAGACAGCAGACGATATGACAAAAGCTTCTGGACTGAATGGTAGCAAGCATTGCCTGAATTCAGTCTCCTTTTAATTTCCTCTTGAATTAGATTGGAATTTGTTACTCTCATTCCCGAATATTTTAACTGTGCCACATTTTTTAAGTATGTAGTAGCTGTCTTTATGTCATGATTTTGCCCTGCATTTTGGTGATGAGGCAGCAACATGTATGTAGCTTTCTCTCTGTTCACTTCTACAGGGTTTGTCCGGAAAGTAATGCAGTTAAGTTCGTAAAAGAAAATTATTCAAGATATCGTTACAAACGTTTAAAATTCTTCAAAGTACTCCCCTTGGGCATCCACGCACTTTTGCCAGCGACTTTTCCGTGCACAGTACGGATCCTGGAAGGCTTCGATGGGGACCTCATGTAGAGCCTTTGTCACAGCGGTTGGGATTGTTTCAGTGGTTCCAAAACGGGTTCCTTTAATGGCGGTCTTGATCCTCGGGAACAAAGAGAAGTCTGCTGGATCCAGGTCAGGACTGTAGGAGGGCTGGGGCAATGTTGCCAAGCTGTGCTTGGCCAGAAACTCCCGGACGCGCAGAGTGGTGTGGCTGGGAGCTTTTTTGTGGTGCAGCTGCCATGTGCAAATTGTCGGTAACGATGTTGTGCACAGTGGTTTTTGGATTACTGAGAGTCTCTGCTATCATCCAAACACTCATTCGATGATTGGTATTTAAAAGATCATGAACACGAGACATGTCACTTTTGCTGGTTGACGGCCGTGCAGAGCGGGGGTCATCCTCCTCCTCTTCCCGGCCTTTTTTAAACAATTTGAACCCCCTGGAGACTTGAGAATAGGAGAGAGCAGAGTCCCTGTAGGCTTCCTGAATCATTTGGTGAGTGTCGGCGAGGCTTTTATTCAGTTTAGTACAGAACTTGATCATGTAACATTCGATATTTTTCTCCATTGCGCATCGTGACACAGGCACTAACAGGAGCTTCACGGAAACAGCGATCCTGATGCTCTCAGAGCTCAGAGCAGACTAAGCTTGGAAGCGTTGTGAAGCTAAGAGTCCCTGCCCCCCTTCCCAACCTGTCTGAATGCGCTGCGACAAGGAGGAGCGGCGGGAAAAAGCAAATTGCATTACTTTCCAGACAAACCCTGTAGAACAATCTTCATATTTCCATTGATTAAAGTTTGTGTGTTTTTCTTTATGGTGTCTGTGTTATCTCTCAGTAGATTCATGCCATCATCATAGACAGTAGCTAATTTTGTCATTTTTAAGTTCAGTCTCACCTGCTTATCCTGGAACTTCCCAATAGTATATCCTAAAGCAAAGTCGAAAAGCAATGACAACAAAGCATCTCCTTGGTTTAGACCACTTTGGATTGGAAACATCAGGAAAATGTTTAGCTGTATGGACTTTACTATAGACTGCATTTAAACACATTGTAATCAGCCTGACTAGTTTCATTGGTACCCCTGACCTTATGAGAATATTTTACAGTACTTCCCTCCTAACTCAATCAAAGGCTTTCTTGAAGTTTATGGTTAGCTGATACACTGCATCATTGTACCCCCATTCCCCCCCAGTATCTGACGAAGGCAAAAAATGTGAACAGTACTTGATCTGTTATGTTGAAACCCACACTGATGATCATCAATAATTTTGTATATATGGACTTAACTTGAGAGAAGGATATTGAATAAAATTTAATGTGAAGTTTATAGCAGTGACATTCCTCAGTTATACAGGGTGGGGCGCAGAAACTTCCTTTATTTGAAGGCGAATAAAAGAAAAATTATTGCTGATAGACAAAATTTATGTTTAGCTAATTAATGAACATACTCTAAAGTTTTAAATCTTTTAGTTTTAAACAAAATATCTTGAAGGTGGTGGCCACCGTTCTCTATGCACTGATGCAACCGTTTTCTGAAGTTCCCCTCTGCGCGTTCCAACATGTTCACCAGAATTTGGGCTACTTCCTGCCGAAGCTGAAGCAAGTTTGTGGGGCGATGTTTAACAGCCTTGATTGCCTTGAGGTATCCCCATAAAAAAAATCACAGGGCGTTAGATCATTTGAGTGCGCTACCCACGGGATGTCACCTTGAAGCGAGATGAGCCATCCGGGGAACTTTGCCCTCAAAACTGTCATCGAAGCTCGGGCTGTGTGGGCCGTGGCACCATCCTGTTGGAACCAGACATTTCCTAGATGCATTTCTTCAAGAGCTGGTTCGAAAAAGTTTTTTAATCATGTCTACATACCAGTGTGAATTGACAGTAACTGCATGATTGTCTTCTTCAAAAAAATAAGGGCCAATAACTCTAACTCTCGACAACGCACACCATACTGTCACCTTATCACTGTGAAGTGGCCTCTCATGGAGGTCTCTGGGATTGTTACCACTCCAATAGTGCATATTTTGCTCGTTGACATATCCGGATAGGTGAAAATGTGCCTCATCACTAAAGAAAACAAGTTTGTCAGGGGGTAAAGTTTCAAATAACGTTTCGCACACCATTATTTGGTTCTGGAAATCACGTGATGACGATTCTTGCACGACAACCATCTTATAGGGATGGAAATTCAGATGTTCGTGAAGAATTCAGTGCATTGAACAATTGGATATGTCTAGGGCGACTGCATGTTTGCAAGAGGAGCGTCTTGGAGATCTCAAAATCAACTGTTGAACTGCCTCCATATTTTCTGGCGTCGTAACAGTCCATTGTCATCCTGATGATTTTTTCACCACACTCCCGGTTGTCCTAAAGTTCTCTACCCACAAAACAATCGATTTCCAGTCAGGAACCAGACCTCTGGGCTTAATTCAGAAGTGAGTACGGAATGCACACTGCTCACTCATTCACCTCATGTTTCCTATTGAGGGGTATTAGACAGAAACTTCCGCAACTGTTGCGTTTGCCGAGCCTATCCCCACTTTTCTGTGACCTCCCCTCCCTTCACAATGCGTCTTCACAAAAAGGAAGTTTCTGCGCCCCACTCTGTACTACAGTCAGTTTTCTTGTAAACTGGTACAAAAATGGTCTCCTCTTGATCAGGCAGTTCTTCCATACTCCACATACAATTAGTGAGTTTGTGGATCTCAGACTATAATGTGTGTATTGGTATAAGGATTAAAAAGAAGTGTGTCCTGCAGGGATGTATCTGAGGTACAGCATGACCCCCTTCAGTGGCTTGTACAGGGTATGTCAGTGAATCGGGTGATTTTAAAAACGTTATGAACAGTAAACTAATGTATTTATTTGGTTTTAACACATATGAATGCAGTGTAAGCATAAAAGCATTTAGTTCTCTCAATTAATTCACTGAAAACAGATGTCTGTTTCCAAGAAATAACATCCGACAGATGACCATTCCGCTTTAGGCACTCGGTAAGTCTCTTCCTAAAGTCGCTCATTACTCTTTTCAGCATCTCTATGGGAATTCGTTGAACTTCTTCCCGAATTCGATGTTCAACTCCTGAACTGTGTGGGGTGTTGGAGCTTTGAAAACTTGGGATTTCAGATACCCCCAGAGAACAAAATCACATGTGGAAAGGTCAGGTGACCAGGCTGGCCATATGATGTCCCCATATCTGGAGATAACATGGTCAGGAAACAGGTTATTCACGTCTGCCATGGAAGCTCATGTGGTGTGGCACGTAGCCCCATCTTGCTGGAAAAACATCTCTTTCTTCACTGGAAGACAAGCAAGTGCAGGAGCTAAGAAGCTCTCCAACATGTGAACACAATGTGGTCCAGTCACAGTTACAGCCCTAAGAAGCTCTCCAACATGTGAACACAATGTGGTCCAGTCACAGTTACAGCCCTTTTCCACTCACCTTCAAAGAAGTACAGGCAGATAATTCCAAACGAAGATATTGCACACCATTTTGTGACTTTGTAACTGTGAAGTGGTCTCTCTTAGATTTCTTTGGGGTTTGTGGCTGACCAGTAGCGGAAATTTTGCTTTTTAACAAACCCCAATAAATGGAAATGAGCATCCCTCATCAGTAAGTTGTTGATGACATCTTGGTTTTGATTAATTAATTGCAAAAATGTCTGACAGAAATCGACCCTATTTTCATAGTCGTATTTGTGTAGTGCGTGAGTAATTTGAATTTTATAGGGGTAGAAGTGGAGATCTTTGTGCAAAATCCGCCAAACGTTGGCTTCAGAAAGCCCAAGTGATGTAGCGTGGCAACACACAGACTGGCATGAACTTCGCTCAATGGCTTCTCTCACTGCTGCTACATTCTCAGGTGTACGTGCTGTTTTTATACTACCACCTTTCTTCTTTATTGTATAACCAGTAGCCTCAAAGTTTGGAACCCAGGTCTTGATGGCATGGGCAGATGAAACAGCACAATTGCAATGAATACCAAACTCTCTTTGAAATTCGCGCTAAACGATCATGAAACTGCCGCTGTTTTTGTAAAATGCTTTCACAGCAAAAGCACATTGTGTTCTTGTCCACTGCTCCATTGCAACTAAAACGCTTTGAAGTAGGCTGCTGGGTGGCAGAAGTGGCATGCTCCCCACTCCAACCAATCCAGGAAAAAACACCACTACTAAATCGCCCAATTCATTGACACACTCTGTATTATGCTGTAAGATTATATTTTAGTTTATTTTGTTTGAATTTTAAGTTGCCTAACTGTGTGCAGCATGGACCAGAACATGCTCTCCCAAATGTCAGACTGTGTCCACCAGAAGATCAAAAATGGTTGAAATGTTTTCTGCTGTTGCTTTTCAGTCTTTGTTTCTTGGATGTATTGTTGTGGGCATTAGTTTTTTCATGGAACTATGTTTCAGTTATGTTCTCTTTCAGCTACTCTGTATCGAGTTTTTCATACCGATTACTAGATCAGATGTTTGGAGATCCATTATTTGCTATTGGAGATGTGAGTCCCAGTTTGTATCGTAAGGCCAGACAGCTTGAACGCACCCGACAACTTCGCATGCAGCTTTATTACTTAAAGGACTTTGTACTGACTTGCAGATTTGCTGACAAGTAAGTATTAATTTTTATTTCTCCATAAAAGTTTATAAGGGATGTATTTTCACAGTATGTGGTAATATCAGGTTTTCAAATTTGAACTTGCATTAAATATAGGCGCAAACATAGAACTTAATTTTGAACTTTTTACTTATTTTTTGTGCACTGAATTCACTTTCCATATTGAATCCCAAGTCAGGCCGGCCTTTTTTTTATGTCATCACAATTATTCATTCATTCATCAGTAATCCGTCAAGATGACAGGTCCACAGTCTCTTCTAAAACAATTCCTCCACTTGATGCGATCTAGAGCTTTCTCCTTCAAATGAAAATATCCTCTTCTGTCCCCAAGGTCATCCAGCATCTTCTTGCGTCTTCCTCTTCTTCTGGTCACTTCTATCCGCCCCTCTATCTTTCCTTCAATAACTTCTTGTAGAAGGCAGTTACCGCATAAGATATGACCAATCCAGTTAGCCTTCCATTTTCTTATTTCGTGTAGGATATTCCTCTGCCCACTGACTCTAAATAACACNGTACACCTTCCATCATCTGTTAACAAGCTACCCAAAAATTTAAAACATTTCACATTCTCCAATTGTTTTTGGACTATATTTATTGTGAGTGGGGTTGGTTGTCTCAAAAGTTTCATTACTTTTGTTTTTTCCACATTCATTTTCATGACATAGCACCCTCCAATTTCGTTTAGTCTGTCAATCATACCCTGTAGCACAGTTTCTTCCTTAGCCATTAACACAAGGTCATCTGCATATTTCACAGTTTGAATAATTTGCCCTCCTAATTTGAACTCTCCAAGCCCGTCCAGAGCTTCTTTGGTAAGGCATTCGCTGTACAAGTTGAACAGAATTTGTGATAAACAGCATCCTTGTCGAACTCCTCTTCCAATCTTCATACTTCTTGTCTCCCCTCTGTCCAGTCGCACTCTAACTATCTGATCCATGTACAATTTACCAATCAATCTTCTTTCACGCCAATCGACACCTGTTTCCTTTAGGATCTGCATTAATTTGGTCCAATTTACATGGTCAAATGCCTTCTGCCAGTCTATAAAGCAAGCACACAGTTCTTCATCTATCTCCAAAGTTCGTTCTGCTATAATTGTCATCATCCCAATTGCATCCCTGGTTCCTTTTCCTCTTCTAAATCCAAACTGATCCTCTCCAAGTATATCCTCTATTTTCCTTTCGATTCTTCTTTTAAGTATCTTTGCTATTATCTTTGCTGTATGTGCAATAAGGCTTATTGTGCGATGGTCGCTGCATTTTGTAGCTTTTGTCTTTTTCTTTAAGGCAGTCATTGTCACTTCTGTAAAGTCCTTGGGCCACTCCCCAGTTTCATATACGGTGTTTATTAGTTTTGTCAGTGATTTCAAACCACCTTCTCCCAGTAACTTAAGCACATCTCCAGGTACATCATCATCTCCTGTAGCCTTTCCATTCCTCATGTCCTTGATAGCTTTTTCCACCTCACTTTGTAAAATATATGGTCCTTTCTCGTCTGTATCTGCTTCTTCCAGTTCCACTTCCAAGGTTTCTGGCTGATTAGGTCAATCATATAGTTCAGTAATATAATTTTCCCAAATTTTCAGCACTTGCCTCTGATCTACTATTCTATTGCCCTGGGAGTCTTTGATGCCAATATTTTGAATCCCATGATTCTCTTTCCATCCTAGTTCCACAATTATTAGCAAGTCATATTTAGGTATGCATGGCCATTTTCTGATGCAGACTGTAATGTTGAATGTAAAATTATTTTTTCTTCTCAAATCTTAACTTTCTCTTATTTTATGAGTATCAAATGATCATCATAGGATGATAGATGTTTGAGTCTGGCAGAATGGTCTTTGTCTCATTTAACATAGCTTCCAACCACAGCATGGTTCTGGTTTACCTACATTTTCACAGTTTTGCCTTTATTGGAAGCAGGGTTTGAAATCACAAGAAGAAAAATCCAAATTAAACCTGTCCAGATTTTCACATAGAAGGCTTACCATATTCCCTTTTGGCCATCAGGTCCGCATAGGACATGTTTCTTTACTTACTTGTGTAATCTGAGCTTTAATTACCACCACAACTGCAGTCTGAACCCTCTCTAGAGCCAGAAGTATGACCTAAAATTATCAGATCTAGGAAATTGTACCGTCAAGCCACGATACTGTATTATTGTACGTGGTGCAATCCAAAAGTTCCCGAAATATATTAATAAAAACTATTACATCTTACCTAGATCTTATTCTGCACCATCACCTTCAAAGTAGTCCCCTTGGGAGCGCATACACCGATCCCAGTGTTTCTGCCACTTTTCAAATTCATCATGGAAGTCTTTCTTTGTTAGTGTGTTTAGTACCGTCTGCGTTTCCGCTTGAATTTCCTCAACTGTATCAAATCTTCGCCCCTTCAACTTGATTTTCATCTTGGGGAAGAGAAAGAAGTCGCATGGATCTAAGTGTGGCGAGTATGGTGGGTGGGGAACAACTGCCATCTTGTTTTTAGCCAAAAATTCCTGCACAATGTAAGCCGTATGCGGTCGTGCGTTGTCATGGTGGAGTACCCAGTCGTTCGTGCGCCACTTTTCTGGACGTTTTCTCCTCATGTTCTCCCTTAAACGCCTTAGAACATCGCGATAGAACTCTTTATTGACTGTTTGACCAGGAGGGACAAACTCCTTATGAACAATCCCGTCAATATCAAAAAAACAGATCAACATGGACTTAAGGTTGCTCTTGGCTTGTCGAGGTTTTTTTGGCCGAGGTGAAGAAGGGTTCTTCCATTGCGACGATTGCTGTTTACTTTCAGGGTCATAGCCATAAACCCAACTTTTGTCACCAGTGACAACCTTCGAAAGAAAGTTTGGATCCTCTTGAAGCTGTTGCTGAAGTTCCCTGCAGACTTCCAAGCGATACTGCTTCTGTTCATTTTGCAGCAGTCGTGGCACAAACTTCGCCGCAATCCTCCTCGTGTTCAGTTCCTCTGACAAAATTCGTTGACGTGTACCATAACTTAGTCCCAAGGTGTTACAGAGGTGTTGGAGGGTCAGTCTACAATCTTGCAGGATCAGATCCCTAACTTTCGCGACATTTTCTGGTGTGGTGCCAGTTGACGGCCGTCCTGAACGATCATCATCATCAGTCGATGTTCGGCCATTTTTAAAACGCTTATACCAGTCGTAAGTTTGTGTCTGGCCTAAACTGTTTTCACTAAAAGCTTGCTTCAACATTTGGTGCGTTTCTGCAGCGGTTTTCCCAAGTTTGAAACAAAACTTTATACGTACACGCAGCTCTCTCAGGTCAGCCATCGCAAAACCGCAAACTCACAGAAACATAACAATGGAAATACGTTCACCAACAATAAACCCAACCACTCAACTCAACCCCGCTTGCCACACTGATTCAAGAAGGATGTGTGAGGAGACACCTAGCGGTATTTCGATGTAATCATAACCATTCGTGCGCAAAATTCAAATTTTGGAAACTTTTGGATTGCCCTACGTATAAGAAGAATGTATTGAAAATAATTAACCCCATATTATAATGTGTTGAATTTCTGGGTAGTTTGCAGGAAGCTCTGTGTAAGGAGCCAGAGTATATGTTGACAGAGCTTGACATGTACTCAATGCAGGACCTTGTTCAAGTGAAAAGTGGCGAAATGACAACAAGACTGAGGGAGATTGTCAGCAAGAGTTCTCAGCATGTAGCAGACTGCCAGGTGGGTTCCACTGATTTGTTTTTTGTATTGTCTGTGCAACTGTGCTATTTTGTATGGTTTGACACAACAAATATGTGCTCGTACAGAGAGTTTTTAAGTCAGCTAGGTATTTTAAGTAGAGTTAGCAGTACATTTATTGGGAAGGAAAGGTACAAGTACTTGTGTCAACAGTCAGAGCCATTTTAAAGAGAGAGGGTAGCATGCCTGTACTGCAGTGTACATTCCATACTAAAACATTCAATATATCAGTTGATGTGTGATGATTTCCCAAGAAAGCAAATTTATTCTTTGAAATAAAAGTGATGTGTGTTGTTACATGTCTTCACAAAGAAGACACTGAGTTCAAGTTCCTGTTTGTCTTGTGGAGCTTGGTTTCTTACTTTTAGAAGAACAAAGAACAAAGTGAGGTTAATATTAAAACTTAAAGTAAATATGATGTTCATTTCATTCCAGTTGTGTCAGGCACGTGGATTTGTTTGTGAATTGTGTCCTTCCCAGGAAGTGATCTTCCCATGGCAGCTAGGCAAAGTTGCTCGATGCCCCACCTGTGGTGCTTGTTTCCACATAGCATGTTGGTCTCCCTCTCCTTGTCCACGATGCACCCGCTTAAGTGCACGTAGACAGAGTCGTGTGTCAGACAAGAATGCAGATATACAAGCAGTTTGACCTTGGCTTTTACATAGTTCCATTGGCTTTCAGTGATGATATGCTTGTTACTTCTCGTCATTGTGCTGTGAGAAGATATGTCTACATGTTTAGGATATCAGTTAAGTTGTATTAGATGAAAATTATAAAACTGTTAAATAGGAAAGCACTAGGTGTAAATAGGATCATATTGAATTCCTACATATGGTCAAATAATGCTGCTTATCTTACTGGAAATACCGTTTTATACTATTTCAGCAGTTTTTGGACATGATTGTGTAGTCCATGTGCATGTTTCCACTTACATTCACATCCCTTGAAACAACTAGCAGCAGGAAAAAAAATCCATACCATATTCACATGTATTTTCAAATGATAAATAAGAGGTGGATGTGCAAAATGTTACAAGTCTTAACATAAGGAATTATAATGTATTCTGCACACTGATAACCTACCAGATATCAGTTCAACACATTTCATTGCAGGATAACCACTGAGGTTTGAAATGTGACTTGACTTGTTTTACGCATGCATAAAGCATTTGGGGGGGGGCAGAGTCGCTGTTTGTGGACTTTATGCACTTTGCTCACTCACCCTCAAATGTAATTAAAGCCTCTGTAACTTGATAAAAATAGGTGCAGACATTGTATGAGAATGTCTGAATAATGTTGCTGTAGAACATTATACATAAATTGTGTGCATGAATTCAGTAAATACAGTCTATTTCGTCTTCCATTTATACTTCAGGAAAGTGACATGCGTGATATCTGTTATGCAAAAAGATACATTATTTAAAATGTTTCATACAGGTAATTGAGAGAATGTGACAAGTATTGATCACAGTAGCCCGAGATGATGGTGTTTGGTTGAGAAATGAAGGAGCACTTACCAAAGTAAATGTCTGCAGAAATACTGATAAAAGACTGTTTTTTTTTGCATCCTTATTTTGATAAATACTCCTTCAGCAACTGTTCTCATAGATAAAAAAAATGTGTTTTTATGTGTTATTAGTTATTAACTTAAGATTTGAAGTGGTCATGGCAAGAAATATCAAGTTGTTAGACCATGTAATTTGGTAGATGTACACCAACATTTTACAGGGACCCACTGCTTCAAATCAGTTTGTTCCTCCAAAATATTGGTACCTGTTTACCAAACTACATGGCTTCACAACCCAGAAGACTGTAATCTTCAGTTATTAAGTTATGAATGTTCAGTTGTATCTAAAATGTGAATAGCCACAAACTTCTTTGGTGATGTTTACTGTGTTTGTATATATTGTAGTCATACTGTCTCACTTTTGAGAAATCAATACCTGAAGTAGGAAAGGAGAAAAAGTTGTTTTCCATTCACATTCAGAAGTATCTATCTGTATAGCCCAGAAGTAAGGACACTTTCTGTTTGATTTAAGCACTATGAATTGGACAGTTGTAAAAAGGAGAACTTACCAGAGGAAGGCCAATTTTTTTTGTCCTGAAGATGTTTCTAGTGAAGTTATTCATGAAACCAACCCTTTGACTTTTAATCTGTTATAGAACTACCTGCTAGAAACACCAAGGCAGCTTGTTTGTTAGTGCAGTTGCACAGAAAACCCCACAGTAACACCTCAGATTGCTTTCAAATGCATGAAAACAGCAATTCAGACTTTCACTTAGGGCAAGTCAATAATGAGTAAAACTGTTGAACTACATCTTTAAAAATGTAGATGTAAGTTGCTTGAAAGCCTTTTATTTTCTCTAAACAGCAGCATTATACTTGATACTGTCTATTGGCAGAAATGCTGTACTAAGTGATTAACATTGAGCCTACTTCTTTGGCTGTGGTTGTTTTAACACAAATAAACTAAGTTAATATAATTGGGTCATGGCTTTCAAAGGATTAGTGGTGCTGTAAATCTTTTAAAATTAAATAATGAAGACAGAACATCAGTCAAGATTACCGTGTGCTAGGATGTGATACCACGTATTTTGGGAGGCATACCAACATTTTGAGGGAGGAACCTGCTACCTCCATTTTCAGGGTAGGAATGATGGTATGCATCATCAAACTACATGACAGTACATCCCAGAAGACTGTGATCTTAATTGTTCACTATTGTGAAAATCTCTGTCTCATATGAATAACCATTGTTACTGTGAATTTTCTAGGTGAAGTTATTGCTTGAGTTTACAGGTAAGCAGTACTAGAATGTTTCCTACAGTAATCCCCTACCATTGTCCATTTCCCATATTTTTTAAAATGTGTTCTGAATCTCTGAGGTAAGGAAAGGTGTCTCTCTGTGATATTAAAAAAATACGTTATATACAATTTTTGCACTATTATTATTTAATAATTTATAGACCTGCCTTATTTATATGTCAGGTGATATGTACATATACAGAGATGCAGTGTTTAGTTAAACATACAGGATATTAAAGGATAATAAAGTGGAATGTATGTAATTATTGGTTTAAAGTATGGTCTGTTAGTTATTTCATCAAGTTAGTTGTTAACTTCTTAGTGTCATAAAGCACATGCTGTTGTTGACAGAAAGAATTTTTCTTCTTTCTTTATGCCTGTATAGGGTTTCATTATTACAGCCATATTTTACAGGATGATTTCTGGACAAAAAAATAAGTAAAAAAGTTTGAATGAATATGGACCCTGAGGACCATTAGAAAATATTAGCACGCACCATCACATTCTGAAAAACGGAGAGTCTAAGGGCATTTTATTTGTATCATGTGGGTGATTGTAAAGATATATTTGATGCCAAACATTGTGCAGTTTACAGTGTGTGATAGTCTTACTGCAAATACATAATACTGTAATATAGACAAACACTGATATGTGCTACATTTAAAGTCAGTCCAAAGCAATCTAAGCTTGGGAGAAGAACATTACATACCAATGCATCATGGAAAGTGGCTGTTCATTTACGAAATGCATGCATCTTGAGCTAGTAAGGTGCAACAGAAATTCTGTTAGATGATACAGAAAAAGTTACCCTAATTGGAGAGTGCCAAACCACCAGACTTTCTTTTCTATTGACTGCTGACTCTGAGACAGCAACATTTCATGGAATGTGAATGGATGTGTGGCCAGCCATGTTCTGTATATGATATACAGACAGAAGATCTGTTCTCAGTGAAAGACTGTGCACTTTAAAAACCAAGATCTATGCCAGTAGTTGATACTAAGATTGCATTAGAGAGGAACTGTGGTGCCAGATTCAGTGGTTTGCAGGTGAAATAAAGAATACACTCAAATATTTCAAATGGTTGTTTCTTTTTCACACAGAGGTGAATTGTGTCCATGAACATGGAGGCCATTTCAAGCACCTCTTGTGTGAAAGCAATCAAGAGCCCTTTTGTTTTCTTCTTACACACAACATATTAATCTTAGGAATCATTTTAAGGTATGACCATGGAAGTTGAAATTAAAATAGCTGTANACAAGGGTGTCCGAACAACAAAATGAGTAAGTAAAGTTCATATGAATATATACCATGAGAACCTTCCTTCAGAAGTTACAGCTACAATTATAAAAGACAAGTCCGTCCAATGTAACTATTTCAGTTTTCTCACGTGATGATTCACTAGCCTTACATGTTTTGATCCAGTTGGATCATCTTCAGAGGCACCAAACACTTTTTTGAAACCACTATCACAACAGTTGTCAATCAAATACACATGTAATGTCCAAGTACACAATGTTCCATCTATCTATACACAGCACAATGGGCCAAGAAATCATAACGGACAATATTAAGAATCTCCCTACTCAAGATACATAGGCAGCACAAACATCGGCCACCTTGAAGAGAGACGACAGAGGTTATTGATGCGAACCATATGGTTTATGAATTTTAATTTTTAACAAAGTTTTTAAAACTTTAAAACAACTCTGAATATTTCTATAACCAGAAAGGCTGCTGTGACTGATAGATGGAACATTGTGTAATTGGACATTACATGTGTATTTGATTGACAACTGTTGTGATAGAGGTTTCAAAAAAGTGTTTGGTGCCTCTGAAGATGATCCAACTGGATCAAAACATGTAAGGCTAGTGAATCATCACGTGAGAAAACTGAAATAGTTACATTGGACGGACTTGTCTTTTATAATTGTAGCTGTAACTTCTGAAGGAAGGTTCTCATGGTATATATTCATATGAACTTTACTTACTCATTTTGTTGTTCGGACACCCTTGTGTGAAGTATGGCATCTAATGAGGTTTTGCTCACTAGGGTGCCCTGACCCTCCACGTATCGCTGACTTTTTATATGATATTGAATTATTTATTCAATTTTTTTGGTGTAACATAGAATTTATATTTATTCAGATATCACATCCTGGAAATGAAATGGTACATCATTTTCCAAAGCTTCAGCTGGGTTCGTATGAGTTTATTGACATAACAATAGTGAAATCCCTATGCGATATATCTGGGGGAATGATTTTCTTTCAGTAGATGGGGGTCATGCAATATTACATCAAGAAACTATTATTCTTATAAGATTTTCTGTATGCAGTTATGACAAAATAATTTCTTTACTTAAGTAATTTAAGAAACTTTCTACACAAAGAAATACAATACTGGAGGAACCTCAGTTGAGAATCAAAGCAGTTGTATTGACACAAATGGCATGGTTTTGATATGTATTCTATGTGATGTCACTCCCCAAAGATTATGGTTGTACAGTAACAATTTCTGGCAGAAGAAACATAAATACCGAACTGCTGTTTTGATCACATTCAAATTAAACTGCAAGTTCTGGAAGATCAAAAATGTCTTACATTAAATACAAAAATTTACTGAACATGTGGAAATAGTGTTTGTATTGGACTTCAGCTGGGACCAGGAAAAAATATTCACTAAATTGGGGTTTTGCTCTGTATAGAACAGAATCCTTCTACAAAAGTTAATTGCTAAGCCTGTTCACAAGATCCTGCCACTGGATCCAGTCTTGAAACAGATTAATGCAGTCCACATCCACATATTATACTTCTTTCTATACTTCATCTCCTGAGTGGCCCACTAAAATTGCATATGAATTTTGACATCATTCATGCATGCTACATGTCCCATTCATTTGAGCACCCCAGTATATGATAAAGACAAATAAAGAAACTCCTTATGTAATTTTTTCAGTCTCCTTTAATTTCCCTTAGGCCCAAATGTTTTCCTCAGTGACCTGTTCTTTAACATGCTCACTCTTTATGTACTATGTATAAATTTGTATGCAGTATTTATTCTGGTAGGAGCTGGGATAGTGCAGTTGGTATCGCAACTGGCTATGGGTTGGATGACCGAGGGATAAGAGTTTGAGTCCCAGTAGGGTCAAGAATTTTCTCTTCTCCACATTGTCCAGACCAGCTCTGGGGTTCACCCAACCTCCTATACAATGGGAAACAGGGGCTCCTTCCCTGGAGGTAAAGCGGTCGGGGCGTGAAGCTGACTACTCACCTCCAGCTAGTGCTGAGGTCAAGAAAATGTGGGTCTATATATCCACTCCAGTACATACATCTTCATGGCGTAGTGTTTAATTAGTTAAGCACAGGGACAACTTTACCTTTGCCATTTATTCTGGTTCATGAGTAAGGTTCTTATGGCAGTGAATATGAAGATTAATCTTTTGGGATGTGACACCATATATGTAATTTGATAAATAGGTACTAACAGGAACCTGCTGTCTTTCTCAGAGTATAAGAGTATGTCTTGCAAGAAAGGGATGTCCAAACATAGGGCAGTGAAAACAGGAACAAAAGGAGGAAGATAATGGGAGGGTGTCCTGAAAGTCAAAAAATGAGATGGAAAGGGAGCCAATTTTCAGTGGTTCTCACAGCCTCAGTTCCTGTCCTCATTTCTTTGGGTCTCTTTCCTGTGCGGCTTACTTCTTTCACCCAGAAGATATATAGGCAGCAGGTTCCCATCCAAGTAGACCATAATATTCTATTTATTTCAGTGGGAGGATACTGTTAACCTTCAACATATGGACTTTTAAATTACCAGCAGCCCTGTACAGCCCGAATTTAAATCGCCCTAATTAACATTGCAAACTCTCAGAAAAAAAAAATTACTTATTTTCCGTTCTATGCAACATAGAAATATGAACTGAAAAGAACCTGAAAGACAATAAAATTTTCTACATACACACAAAAGAGCAAGTTTCACGAATGAAAATTAACTGTGATTATTTTGTCATGATATGCAAAATATGATCTTTATTATATATGTTATGAAATTCGAAAGGACTTACCCATTGTTTTTTCTTTAACCTTGAATCATGGTGATATTGTAAATATATTCAGACTATATAGAATAACATTTTATTCAGACTGTACAAAAGTTTGAACTGCGTTACTTCACAGTTTACGATACCTCACACTCTGACGTGTGTGTGCCATTTCTCGAAGCAGTCCACCACACGTAGCCCAACGTCACACTTTTTACAATAGTAGAGTGTGCTGCTTCGGTTTTTCTTATTTTGAGAACAAACGAGACAACATTTTTGTTTCCGTTTGGTTGGCCAGTGTTTTGAATGTTTCACCTCCAGTCGACTCATTTTGGCCCCAGATGAACTTGGCCTCCCCGAAGAAACGCCACTGACCGTGATATTCGCCTCACACGACTGAAGAATCAAATCCCAGACCAATATTTCGCGGAATTTTTTGTGCCATTTTTCCATCACATGACTTGTGTGATAGATATGCACTGAGAATAGTCATGTCTAGGAGGTGGAAGAATAATTTCTTCGTCCATTTCCATGTTCTCCAAGCAATGCCATAGCTGTTTACCATCCTCTCAGATTTATCCACAAAGCCCATGTGTGCATTGTAGTCTTCAATTACATGGGGTTTGACAGCATGGCCAGATTCATCTCTGAAGTTGCCATCCAATGGAGGAGGGTGCATATTCATCAGAACATACACCTCACGCTTGTCTTTCCAATGAACAACACTTAGATGTCCCTTGACTCTTGTAACAATATCCCCTTTCTTCAATTTCATTGACTTGGGCCGAATTTCTTGTGGCATTCCACGCCTATCATTGCGAACAGTGCGACACGAATTTATTTTCCTGTCTAAAGGATCATCAAATAATGCAGGAGAACTGAAATAATTGTCCATGTATATTTTGTGTCCCAAGCCTTCAATTCTTTGAATTAGCTGGAGAACAATGCCATGTGTTGACGTAATTTCTTCTATCGCAAGCTGCCTTTGTTTGCCTAAATAAACTGTCATGTCATATGTATAGCCAAGAAAATCGCAAAGCTTGTAAATTTTTATACCAAATCTTTGGCTTTTCTTTGGAATATACTGATGAAAAATCACTCTTCCTTTGAAGAGCGCTATGACTTCATCAACAGCAAGACGTTCTGATGGATTGTAAAGTTCACAAAATTTATTGTTCAGATAATCAAAAATCTTTCTAATTTTCCAGAGCCTGTCATACTCTGGGTCATCTCGATTTGGAGGAGTTTCATTGTTTTCAAAATGTGTAAGAAATGGTCTTGTACCATGGTGTTAAGGTAGAACGGAGTGTAGTATTACTCATCTCTTGACTAACAATCTTTGAGGGTGTCCCGTTGATCATGGCCCATTTGAATTATTATTGCCAAAAATTTATATATTTCTTCAATTGTAATGTCAGATGGTTGAACAGAAGGGCCTGGAGCATCTTGGCAGGCCATAAATTGGTGGAAATATCTATTGGTTTCTTGTAACAAGAGTTGGAATATTTGCTGGAAAAACAGAATGAAAATGGAAAAAGATGACTGTACATTTATATTGGGAGTAGCTGATCTATTGATTCCACTCGGAGGGCCAGTGAAATCTAGTACCTTTGGCGAATCCTTGGGTCGTTTATCACGAAACCTAATTTCTGTTTCCTCTACCTCATTACCTGATGATGACATATTTTCATGAGGTTCACTTAACTCTTTGAGTTCTTCTAACTCTTCATCAGATTCTTCTTCCATCAATATTTCCTCCAGTTCTTCTGCATCGAGAAGTTTTGAATATCGAGCACGTTTTTGAGGTTCCATCTTGGGGGAGGGGGGTTTCCAGCTAAATCAAATAAATTAATTTGATTGACAAAGCGAGACTCTCACCTGTTAGTAATGCTCACAAAATAGTGATGCAAAGTACTAGTTGAAAAGAGTGCCAGTCTGACACTGATACCGAAAGTCACAGTGACGAAGATGCCTTTTACTCACAAAGTAATACTGGCTCAGTGGGTTTATACCTCTTCCAAGACACAAAATAAAAATAATATACAAAGACATATATGAGTCTGACACTAACTTTTTAACTGATAAAGAAATACTAGACAATCCGATACTGACTTCCTAACTGATAATTCGCCACTGAAAACCAATACTTGAAAGCACTGGAAGCACTGATCTGCAAGCACCGATGAATATTTGCTCTTCAGTTCTCAGAACAAAGCTGGGCTATATTTGGCTGACCAAGTCATAAACAGTCATATCTAAATGTAAATAGTATCCAAACCAGTACCCTGATAAACAATTTCATTCTTCAGAGCTAACAAATGAACCTGTGACATAAACTTGCATGGGTTTGTTTTGGTTTCAAACCCAAGGTCAAACTGTCAGCACTCCCAAAGAGTGCACGTGTCCTGCGTCACATATATATAAATATATGACATTCGGCCAACTCGGGTTGCTGCTTGCATCATATACGATGGGGTACCCAAAAGAAACCGAACTAATTTTTTTGTGGGCAGAGCTTTTGTAGTACCGTGTTTTGCCGCTATGAGCGCATAGAGCTAAGATTCCTGAGTCGATAAGCCGACTACTGTTGCTTCAGAAGGTAAGGACTAGTTTCGGCAGAGTTTATAGTGACAACTGTTTTGTGTGATCGTCGTTTTTGCAATGGCCCGAACACATGAAAATTTTGAAAAAATTCGTGAAATCATCAAGGAAGATCGATGACGGACCATTGAAGAAATTGTGGAGCTGTTGGGAGTGACTTGGAGCTCAGTTCAGCAAATTTTGACAGAAGATTTGGGAATGAAAAGGGTGGCTGCGAAATTCGTGCCATGACTGCTGACTGCTGAACAAAAACAAGGTCGCGTGGAAGCATGCTGTGCTTTGAAAGAAGAGTCCCAAAATGATCAAAACTTTTTTTCAGCGTTTTGCTGATGTTGCTGAGGTGAAGGAAAAAAACGACGGAGGCGCTGTCAAGCATCTCAAAAGATGAATTTAGACAATGTTTTGAAAAATGGAATAAAAGACTAGACAAGTGTATTAGTGTAAGTGGAGAGTACTTTGAAGGGGATTGAAGGTTTGTGCTTAAAATTTGAATAAATAAGTTTAAAAAAAAATAAGTTCGGTTTCTTTTGGGTACCGTCTCGTATATCTGACATTCGGTCATTAAAGGTTAAGATGGATCTTAGAAAGATAGAATGGGTTTGCATGGACTGGAGTGATCAGTTCTTGAGTAGCTGCACAACTGGTGGCTTCTCAAGGGCTCAGCTCAATGGAGTTAACATTTTTGTATCAGTGACAATTTGCAGTTGCCTGTTTTCATATCAACATCATTATAAATAGTTAAGAACCATAGACATTTGGCATAATTTATGTTGAGATGTGAGCTTTGTGTGAAGTAACATCCGATGTGAAAATTTCCTTACAACTCTGTTTTTATTCCAGCCAGTACCATATTTCATAAAAAGTCCATAGTCTCAGACAAACTCCTTGTCCCACTCATAGTACAAATGACAGTATATTCTCTAATTGTAAGACTCATGTCTGTTAATAAAGCTAGCCAGAATAGACTTTCTCTTCCCATTTCTAGTTTAGACTCAACACACAAGGAAAAGGAAAAACTTCAAGGGAACTGTGGTGTCCTGATTTGGAGTCAAGAAAGGTATTACAGTTTGTTACTTGTACTTCCATATGTATTCTCTATCTTGTGTCACACTTGTAGCAGAAATAAACACTAAAAATTTACATTTTAATTTATGTCCAGCTCTCAAATTACAGTTTTTAATAGCGGTTATATGGCATGCTGTGAACATAAAATGTCTACATTTTACTGTCATTACATTTTGACTATTGATGTAGTCTCAGTCAAATGCCTTTAAACACATACATTAACATACCTGTTACGTATAACACCAATTCTGTTTATCATGTTTTCACTCCTCAGTTTTTCTTGTGATGTTCCCATTAAACTCTTTACTGAACTTACCGTGTTCATAAAATTGACATTACAAAAATACATGCGTACATCACTTCAGTTTCATGTAAGATTTTAATAGCCATGAAAGTAGAATGTGAACATAAAAAAATGTTATATTGCAAAATTGTAAAAAAAAAGGCCTACTAAGAAGAACAAAATTCAGTTGGCTAATATTATAGTTTGCCTACTTTAGTATGCACTTAAAAACTTCCACCACAAAAACTTATTTTTCAAAAATTAAAAATTTCAACAATAACAGTATCTCAAGCTAAATATATTGTGATAACTAGACAGACCATTTGTTATTTATTTATTTATTGAATGGACATTACTTTTAATTTAGTTTAGACTTAAGATCAGTCTTCCACAGCAAACCTAGAAGCCCCATGTCTTGACATTTTGTGGTATGTTACACACAGCTCTATTCCTTAATTCCATTATTTTACCTCCAATTACCACAGTGTATCATTACCATCATTCATGCTTAATTATATACAGAATACTGTAAAGAGCTAGAAGAACTTACTATGTACATAAATTTCTCAAATTACAAATACCTAACATCTTTCAATTATAACATGCTGTTATCAATTCACATTCTCAGTTCTGCACATAGTACCATATTGGAACAGCCTATAAGAGCTTTGCATTGTAATGCTGAATATTTCAGGAGAAAACCTCTGAAATCCATTAATTTAAGGTAGCTGTTTCAGTCATATTCCCTTCTTCCAGTTTAATGGCACAATAAAATCTGTGATAACAGTTTGTAAACAGCCAGCATACAAAACTTGAAAATACCTTGATTTTAAATAATCTAATTCATGGCCAATATCCAAAAGGAATTCTATCTATCAATATGGTACAGTTCATTTTGGGTTACGATAGGCAAGGTAAGAATTCCCACATTTTTAATCAAATTTCATTTCACTGTGCAAGTTATTGTTTAAGCACACTTCACTTACACGCTTATTTTTCTATTAATGACAGAACTACTGCATGTATTACAAAGCAGTAGAGACCAATTAAAATATTCAGCTTTGCTTTTCTGTTTTAAATCTATATGAAATATTACCTTGGCATTGTCATTCCACATTAGACTATAGAAACTTGGTAATAAATTGTCAGCTATGAAATTGTATAAAAAGAAATAATGTTATGCGCATAAAATAAATAAAAACCCTAACACTATTATCATCCAGAAACATTCTAAAAATGTGGCCCATTGCATAAAGTAAGCATTTACTATTCCAAAAAGTCAGATCTTCAAATAATCGTAAAAACGTCAGAATTAAAAAGTAATATATATGTAAAAATAGCTGACTTTATTTTAATGTAAAAATGTTGTAAAAATACCTCTCAAACTTTCTTGTCTTGAGACAAATGAATGCAGTTGCATTCCTGTACAATTTTATACAAATAGACCATATAAAATGTAAATGTATCTAAAAAGTATATTATTAGCATTCAAGTTTTGTAGCTCATTTTAGCCTCAAAGGTGAACATGACTGGAACATCATGTTACATTTCCCAGATTGCACTAATGTAGGACTGGCTCACAAAAGGCCACATCTTTAATGCATTCAACATTCACTCTTCACACTCAGAGCTTGGTCATGTTTTTCAGGAAATAACATGCATTTTATAAGTCCAAGTTCTCCAGAAGAGGAATCTTGGCAACTTCAAAGAATATCCTGTAAAAATGAGAAACATTCATTAAAAGCACAGAAGACATATACACCTGTCTGAAATTGTGACATTTGTTCAAAAGTATAACTTAAAAGAGTTATACATTCTTTGCAGGATACAAAATTATGCAAAATGGGGATATCATTTTTTGTTGCCAAAACTACTTGGTGGATTCAAATTAAATCTGGTATTGGTGCCTACACTAAAACTTTAACAAGCTTAATTTTTGTTCATGCTAGTTCCATGTTCCTAAAGGAAACAGGTATCAATTGGCATGAAAGAAGATTGATCAGCAAATTGTACATGGATCAGAAAGTTAGAGTACGACTGGACAGTGGGGAGACAAGAAGTGTGCAGATTGGAAGAGGAGTTCGACAAGGATGCTGTTTATCACCAATTCTGTTCAACTTGTACAGCGAATGCCTTACCAAAGTAGCTCTGGATGGGCTTGGAGACTTCAAATTAGGAGGGCAAATTATTGAAACTGTGAAATATGCAGATGACCTTGTGTTAAAGGCTAAGGAAGAAACTGTGCTACTAATTGACTAATTGAATTTGGAAGGTGCTATGGCATGGAAATGAATGTGGAGAAAACAAAAGTAATGAAAATTTTGAGACAACCAACCCCAGTCACAATAAAGATAGACCAAAAACAACTGGAGAATGTGAAATGTTTTAAATATTTGGGTAGCTTGTT